TAAACGAAAGCGGATAAACTACAACAGACAACAAAAGCGCGGGCAAAGAAATGCGAAGGAATGTTATCACGTGCATTTGCCTTTTGTGTTAACATCGCTTTTTTAGTTACGTGACCAAAAACGACCACTTTTGTCGCTAACATTACATATGTCTCCGGAGAAACAGTCTACTTGTTTCGGTAGCATATTACCTTTCTCGAGACCACCCAAAATTATACTTTACAGATTCAGCGCAAAAATCCGAGTCCCCGAGTCCGCGTGTCCCACGTCCTACGTTCTCGTGCCACTTTTAGTCACAGCCCTGAATTTGCTTTTCTTGATCACTGTAATGCAACGCGAATCGAACTTGTTGGAAAGAGAATTGTCAATCAAGGCACACCTCGCATTTCGTCAGAAGGGGTTCATATCGGGTCGATTTCCGATAAAGAAAAAAAATCCGGGCTCACCCGGTGTCGTCATCGTCATAATAAACTCACAAAGTAGAAGCTCCAAACATCGAGCTCGCCCGATGTCATCTTCGTGTTAACAGACTCGCAAAGTAGAATATAGAGATACGTGGGAAGTTCCGAGAATCACCTATAAATGTCTTCCTTGTTTATATTTCTACGCCAACTTATTTTCTAAAGCGAAATGATCGTTAGGAATATACGACCCACTAATGAAAACGACAATTGTCCCTTTTGTTATTACGTAATAACATGATACCTTGTGTGTTTGTTCTTCGCATGCGGTGAAGTGCTCGTAAAAGAAAATGTACTCAAACTGTGATTTCTCATTACTTTCATACTGCCTCGTCTCGATCAGTTGGTAAGATTGTTTTTTTCCTTTTTTGTTAGCTCAGTTGGTAGAGTCACTGCACCGGTGTCGCAGAGGTCGTGGGTTCAAATCCCGTTCAGGCCTGTATTTTTTCAGGTCTTGTTTTTAAGGTAACTCTAGCTTTGCATCTTGTACAGATTATTACGGCTTGCCAACTGGTTGAGGCTTGTTATGTTAAAGTACAAATAAACTTGTTGAGTTTGTTTAAAGAATGGTTTCTCTCGTTGTTACGAGCGCTTTAGATGTCCGAGCCAATAATCAATACTGAGTTTGTTAGCTCAGTTGGTAGAGTCACTGCACTGGTGTCGCAGAGGTCGTGGGTTCAAATCCCGTTCAGGCCTGTATTTTTTCAGGTCTTATTTTCACTATTGTTCAGGCAGTGTTCTTTAGCTTACTGACCTAAGGGGATACTTTTCCCATACTAACTATGGTTTCTCTGATACACAATCACAAATTTCCCGCTCTTATGAGACTTGAACCTTGCCTGGGTAAGTAAGTAAGCGAGCAAGTGAAGGCTTTAATTATTTTGAGAGGATTACATCTGACAGTGGAAAAAATATTGATAACTTTATGGCCCGTATTACGCTATTAGAAAGACCTAAAAAATCGGTGTTATACAAGAGATTGTGAACACTTTGTAATCTCTTGGTATTTTAACAATTCACAAGCTATATACACATCTACATCATAAGGTTTTAAAACTTAAAAAGATATATCCTATCGACAATGAAAAATACAAAAAAAATTCCCACATTAAGATATGAAGCCAATTATGTTTTATGCATAAAGGCTGATAGTTTCTAAAGAAACAGTTTGGGGCTGCGTCGGTGGGGGTAACGAAATAATTTGAATATATCAACAAAGTTGAAATGGTAAATTGGCCACCGTTACGATTATAGAAGCTGACGTTTCGAGCATTAGCCCTTCGTCGGAGCGAATAGAGGAATTGTGGGTTGTGTGTGCTTTTAAAGGCAGAAAATGGAGCTACGTGATTGGTAGGAACATGGCAACGAGAAAAATACGAATAAATTAGTGGAATGAAAAGCGTTCGTTGATACTTGTGGGAATGATTAGCTGCATAAAACATAATTGGCTTCATAAAAAGCGCTCCATATTTTTAAGGCGCCATTTTATAAAATGATTAGCTGAATAAAACATAATTGACTTCATAAAAAATGCTCAATATTTTTTAAGGTACCATTTTATAAAATCATTAGCTGCATGAAACATGATTGGCTTCATATCTTAAGCACCATTTTATAAAAAAAAAACAGTAGCTGAATATTGGCAGTAATGGCACCCCATAGGGATAGAGAGGTCGATTAAAGTTATCATCAGATGATTCACCATCCTCGGAGACCCAGGGGCTGTGAGTCGATTTCAAGTTAAGGGCAGAAGAGCCCTTGGGGACATTGTCTTACAAGACTAGTTCCAAACAGTCGCAGTCGTTCTGGCATCTGATTGGTGCCAGAAAATCTTTGTGTTTTTCTGCCCAATCAGAGTGAAGTGTCGTTTGGAGTCCTTTCGTGTTGTTTAACACGCACATATTCAACAAGCTCTGTTGCTAGCTATGTTTGTTTGGGCCGTGCGACGAAGCTTTGCC